AGGGACCCCGGGCAGTGCTCACACCAGAATCAGATGTTCAACACACAATTCATAAAGGATTGGAAACCAGCCCCAATGTGTCAGAGTTCAGAGGAGTCTCATGGACCCTAAGCAGTGCTCACAATGGGGGTAGCAGGACCCTAGTTAACTAAGAGTAGGAGTTGAAAATAATATAAGAGTAGGAAGTAGTTTTAAGAAAGAAAGCAGTTTGGACTTTTAGAAGTGAATAGAAACAGATTACCAGATTACAAGAACCACAAGCAACACACATTTAGCAGAAGGAGTTCAACCATGAACTCCAGCAATCAAACAACAGACAGAACAGAGTGACAATTAATTTGAACAAGATTTAACATGGCCCTAATCCATTAGCTATTACTAGGTCAACATATAGGCATATTGATCAGAGAACAACATACTGGGATCAAGTTACTGATCAGACAATCATACAGAAAGGTAGCAGAAGTTGAGAGCATAGAAATCATGAATTGATCAGGAGTTTGTTAATGGTGAACACTTAAAACAGACAGAAATCATGCTAGTTTAGAAACAAATAAACATAGGTCTAGTTACATAAAGGCAGACATGCTGAAAATAAGAAGCACATAGGTCTAATTTCATGGAAGTAGGCTGTTAAGATCAATAATAATGAAGCACATAGGCCTAATTACATAGAAGTAGACATACTGATTAAGAGTAATAAACATGAAGCACATAAGTGTAATTACATAGAAGTAGATATGATGATTAAGATTAATAAGAATGAAGCACATATGTCTAATTACGTAGCATATTGAATGATGGCAGAAGTGGAGATATACCAGTTAAGAAATAGCAAACAGAAAGTTGAGAGCAAGTAGAGTCCAATGGTCTAGCCTTGGCTTTCAGCCGGCTAGACAGTGCAGCAAACACAAGCAACAGAAAAGATCACAATGGAGAGTGCGTGCGAGTGAGAGTAAGAATTTGTGTGTGTAGGTGTAACTTTCTGAGTGTGTTCATGTTTGAAAGAAATCAGACTAGAGTTTATATAGCATTCAGTAGAGAAGACAATTAAGGCAAGAAAATTAGAGTACACAAATAAGGTAAGCAAATATAATTAATCAGTGAATTGGGGCCAAGCCCAAGCTAATTGATACAAACAGAATCCGAAAAAGTCACCTTAAAATAAGGAGAATCAGTTACCAGCACGGATTGGGATTCAAACAAGGTAAATAAATCAATTATTGACCATAAATTAGACTAATTAATCTAAATAAGGCAAGTAGCACCAATCAAAAATCATAAATAAGGAAAATAGGCAAAATCACGGGGAAGTACTGATTTTAACAGGAAAATATAATTCAAACCCTAAATGAAATCAGTCAATCTATTTTGATTGTCAGCGATAAACAATAACGGGAAAAAATTAAAGTAATCAGTGAAATAGCAGAAACCCTAGGGTTTAGAACATGGTCATGAGAATCAGTCGAACATGTAAAGAAAATTAGGGTTAAACACTTAAAAAATTAGTATTTTTTTTTCCAGAAATTTAAAGGGATGAAACCCTAACTTTAGAGAAGACAAAAATCAGTTAATAATAAGAAAACACATAAAGTTTTTAAAGAGAAATAACAAATAAACTTAAAATTATCTCAAATCTACAAGGATCTGAACAGATTCGAGTAGCAAGAGACTAGGGTTTTAAAAGAATGACAGAGATGAAAGAAAATCTGATTTGGAACTATAGATTCGAGCCATAAACACGAAAATAATAGTACTCACAAACGGAGATGACCATAGATAGCTTATGAAAAGGTTTGAACAAAATCTGAGTTGAATCTCTTCGAGATTCTTTCATAAATCAACGAAATCGAACAACCAGAAGAGGTAAGAGGCCGGTAGGGGCCTGAAAGCACAGAGGAACCCCATGGAACGGGTAGTTTTCTGGTGACGGCGGCTAGGGTTATGGTTTTGTCTGAGAGAGAAGAGAGGAGGAGAGGATTCAGAGGAGGCGGTGTTTGAGAGAATGGGTAGGGTTTGGGGGGTCGTTGGATTAAAAAAGGAAAAGGATAACGTGGACCGTTGATCTCAAAGATCAAAGGCCACGATTAGAGGAGGTTCTGGGTCGGGTAAGGGTTAATAATTGGGCTGGGTAATTGGGTTAGATATTTTAGGTGTTGGGCTGGGTAATTAGGTCCGAAAAATTAATTGAAAGAGGCTATATTTTAAATACCCAATTAACTTAAATAAAACAATTTTATAAAATAATTTAGAAATGATAAAAAAATCATCTGTGCATGAAAATGACTTAAAATAATTACTTAGTATTATAAAAATATAAAAGGTTATTTTCTTGTGAAATAAGGTAGTTATGCACACATGGGCCATTATTGCAACATTATTGCAATTATAACCTAATATGTACATATGGCTATTCCTGAAATAATTAAAGCTCAGTATAAATATATAATGATAAAATTAAGCTATAAAATTATCATAAAATATTTATGATGCAATTAGTAATTATTTTATATAATTAAATGCTAGAATAAATTAATTAAATCCTCTTAGAAAATTATGAAAAAATACTGGTTGATGGTCCTGCACTATTTTGAAAGTATATATGCATTTTGAAATATATGAGGCAAAAATTGGGTATCAACAGTGCTTCATTTCCGGCAGTTTATGAATAGAAGCCAGTAGCGGTTGAATGAAAGAAAGTCAATGGAGTTCATAATCTAAGTGCAGATTCTTTGGCAATGGCCTCGTCAATTCCACCAACCATATAGATGACTGCTCTAAAAGGTCATCATATTTTCCATCCAAGACTCATTGGAAAAATCAATTACAAAAGAAATAATTAGCATCAGATGCCAGCAGATTGAATCAACTCGTTAAGTATGCAAAACATAACAAGAATTTCTCATCTCGAATAAACTCCACCAAATAGGGGAGAAATAATTAAGGAGGAAGAAACTTAAAATAATTTAGCATTTAATTGGAAATAGCTTCACCTCTCAACTTGCTGAATAAATGAGAAGGCAATCAGGAGAAATAACATGTGACAAAAGGGTATGGTAGAAGAATAATTGATTCATTTATTCCATTTATGGAGAAAGAAAAGAGCAAGTTGGGGAAAGGGAAATTTATGGAGGAAATTAATGCACCAAATTCTTTGAAGGAGCAGCCGATTCCTCTTGACGAACCATAGCTTTTTCAACAGTGGAGGTCTTTTACGAAGAAGAAGGAGCTGCTATGAAGTGGTGCTATTAAATTTAGGGATTTTAAGTGAGTTTGATTATTTACTATGAAGGCATTTTAAAAATAAGCGTTGACTTGGCTATCTACGTGGCACTTTAATTGAGGGGTCCTGCCATAGTGGAGGACCGTTAGGGTTAGGGACAATTCTAACAAGCTTGTTAACGGTAGGAATTGATCTGGACAAAAAGTATAGCGGGTGGCAGAAGTAAACAATAAATAATAGAAGATGGCAATTTTGGACCTTTTCCCTTTATTTTATAATGTGCAACCTAAGATTTAATCGAAAAACTAACAAAAGTTAGAACTCAAAAAATTTGAATCAGGCTTATCGATAATATAATAAACTTTATGTTAAAACTTTTTTCTTGAAATTAAATTATACTTATTTAGTTTTGCAATAAATAAAGTTATAATGTCACATATATACTTGCTTACTTCAAATGTTGTGATAGAATGACTAATATTTTTTCCACCTTGGTTTCGACTTCAAGTAGCTTTAAGCTTTGAGAATTAAAAAATTGTCGGTAAAGATATTTTTTTATTTGTAGGCCTTAAACTGTTAAAATATAAATTAATTTAGGCGTAATGGTTTCCTGGCCACTTAAACTTGTAAGGCTTTTGAAAGCCGATACACAAACTTTGGACTTTCCCATTTGAATACTCAAACTCGTGAAACCCTTAACTAATAAACACATTTGACCCTTGACCCTACGCGCGTGTATTACACATTCACAGACGTGTCCATCCAGTCAGCAAACGACCAATGGGATTGTTACACGTCAAGGGCGCGAAAACAAACCCCATAGCTGTGCTGGAATAAATTTATTAATTTCTAATTTTTCTTCTATTTCCCTTATTTTCTTCATCACCATAGTTGTGCAACTTTTACCTAACTCAAGGTACCAAAATGACCCAGCAAACCAAATTAACTACGAAGAGGGCCACAAATAATTTACACATTACTACGGCAAAAAAAATCGAACACAAAGGAACAACAATGGATACTTAGAACTGTTCAAGTGAATTAGAGAAAACGAGTAAAAACATGGATAATATATGATCAACAGAAATCT